TGCATAGTAATGATGGTTCCGAGTTCAAATCTCAGTGGAAAAAACATCACTCACTAGGAGGCAGGTACATCCAGCTGACGAGTTCCAAACAGGACGAAATGCGCATCCTGGATGCCACTGCTAGCCACTATCCCTCATTGTACTTTTCTTAGTCGAACTAAAATTCCCCGCCCTTTTTTGTTCTACCTTACTCGCACAACTGAAAAAAGCCACTCTGGACGATTTGCTTATTCACTCACCTGCATTACTTTGACCTTTGTTCCATATCACCATGTAATTGGATGGTCGTAAAGGTCACCTGTACCAATACTTGAATGTCAGATTCATGCTCTTGAAAAGGATGTTCCTGGCAAAGCCAAAATGTTGAGGAATAATACAAAATATTTGTTTATTTCGTAATTTGTTTCAATATACTACTCCGGGATTACACAAGTAAAAATATACCTTATACTATGAATCATACTAACTCGGTGCTCAAGGTTTTTCAAACCACCCAGTCCACTGTTGGTCACGTTACGTTCAAATTTGCTAATTTACTACAGGCTGAGAATTCCATACTGTATCAAACACTATTTGGAATAAAGTTGTTGTTATTTATTTCATTTATTTACTTTATTGCATGACACTAGGGCAATAATCTCGGTGATTGGAGTGAAATTAGTCCGAATTTATCAACTAGGTCTCACAGTCCAGTTGGCAAACTTTCAGAGAGTTAACCCCAAGGCCGTCGGTTGAAATCCTGCAACTTCAGTCACTACATCGTTTTCACAAGCACCACTTTATCAAACCATGGCTATCTGAGATAGCCTCATTAACAAATATATATTTATCCTTTTGCGTTCATGTGACCAGATTAATAAAAGGGTAAAATACGATTGGGTTTTGGTCAACAAGTAAATTTCTGATACTGTAGTCAAGTGATTGATGGTTTCAAACTGACAGTAAGACTTGGGGCTAATCTCAGACTCCCCAGTGACCTCAAAAGAATACAGACTGTTCTAACCGAAGGTATCACATATGGTGTAATTCATAATTTTATGGCAGTTTGAAGTTTGACATATCTTACTACTCAATACGAAATCATTGAGAAAATGGTTAAGCATATGCAACCAAATTTGAATATCAGGAGTCAAATTTTATGAATGGCTGGCAAATCAGCCCGAACTGGAAGATAATGAAAGCTAATGACTTTTCGGTTTTCATATTTCGCTAATACATAGTCAGGGATAAATTTTGAAAGCGAAATAATACGGCCTAATAAAAGACTTGTGAATTATTCATTTCATACCTAATTCATACCTAATTGATTTTATCGTTGAAGTATATGGGCTAGATATAAGAAATGAGTCATCAATGAAGGGTTCACGTATGTCTTGTTAGATAAACTTGGATACACAGCACATGTGTAACACCAATAGGCTAACGATAAATTCCCTAAAAGTTTTTATCACCTTTTACTCTAAATAATTATAATGGCTGTTAAATGAACCTATTTTTTTTTAATATGATATCCTTTTTATTGATGATTAACCTATAATTTGTTAAATAGTGATAATGTATAGCACTTCCATGAAAGGACTATCTAACAAACAGGTCAAATGATTTTACTTTCACATGTCTTTACTGATTAAGCGGACTGATAAATGAAAATTTTAAAAATTCTCATGTTATCAGTAGAGGGATTAAAATATTATTCAGCTTGTCTTCAGTCCCTGTTGTTATATGAAGGGCATGAAACATATTACCGAATGAAATGAAAGACCACGTATTGTTTCAAACTTACAGTTTTGCCTTTTCTCAATTGAGCCGTTTACCTGGAATAGTTTCATTGTCATCTTAGACAATATTGTTTTCGGAAAAAGTAAATCGAAAGTAAGCTTATAGTCATCAAAGTAACTAGCATGAGTGCCAAAGATAGAAAAGCCAATTTAAGCGTCTGATTGTCTCGGGATCTTGCATGTGGATTCATTAATAATAATAGTTGTGACCTAATAGTGACGCCATAAGTTGCAAGAAATAACAATCAAGGGAGATTCGGTATTCTTAATAGCTTATGTCAACTGCTATTTATCAGGACAGAAGTGTTAGAAAACGATTTTCTTACGCGGTCTAATACCAATAACGACTCGTATGTAGATGAAAAGTACAAGATCCTACAAATAATATGAAAATCTCCCATGTGAAATTTCACTTTTGAGAGATAATTATCAGTACGCTCTGTAAGTCTGCGAGTAAATAAACCCTCAGCCTCCCAAATATATTATTTCTGTCATATATATATATATATATATATATATATATATATATATATATATATATATATTTAACTGGACAAGTAAAACTAACCATGAGATCAAAAACAGATATAGTAAAACATTGACAGCAAGAAAACGAAGCTTCTTATCAACATTTTTTTAATGATTATAGGGAAACTATGATGATTTTTAAACTTACTGCATTTTAGCCTAGTGTTTTTTAAAGCAAAACGGAATGACCTGGGTCAAGGTTTTATGCCTTATTGGGACTTTTCAGTAAGAGATATTTATAACTTAGAGACTGGAATATAATCCAATAATGATTATCACCAGGTGACCAGTGTCGTTAATCCCATCCGATATAAGTACTCAGTATAAGAGATCTCACAAATAGACTTAAGTGAACACAATTTCAGTATCTGGGGGAACATCATCCCTCCTGAAGTTGTACATTCTGCTTGTTTGTGAGTGCAAGTAAGAGGAAGACTTACATCCAAGGGTTAGTGTATTGTGATGTCATGTCACATTGACTAGCGACCATATCTTACACTTGGTCGATCAAACCCAATCAAAACTACTTCTGTAAGCAAACATTCAGTGAACAAACATAACAGTAGGGAAATGTTACAGTATTAGTGTTACAAAACAAATCCACCAACGTTATTTTAAACAAACCGTTATTAATTTTCAGACTTTTGATAAGTCAATCAGATTCACCCGTAATATATATAAATACCTTTCATTCAGTTTATCCGTAAATATCTGCTTCTGAAGTCAGTGCATATCCATTCAAATCTAACAGTGGAAATGGATCTCCATAAGTCAGAAATACTTTTTTAGTTAAAAATACTCAAGTGAACTATGAGATATAAACAGTGTAAGTAGTTTAATACATATTTAGCCATGCATTTAAATAAAGGGATTTTATTGAAGATCTCTATGCTATTTTCTCGGATATTCCCTGAGGTACTCTCTCCGCCCATTAACACCAGCATTCTTATTAGATATGATTATTATCCTTTTTATTATTAGTAGAAATTCTTGGTATATCTTGCTATAGTACTGTCCCTAACGATATAACGATTCCTAACAAAAATTCTTCTGTCTTTTGTCTGTTTCTTCTTATCATACAGTTCCTCTTTACTTCACCACTATGAATACTTAATAAAAATGAAGTTTAAAATTTGAAACAGTGAATTCTAACTGATTATTTGGTCAAACGTTAGTAGGCTAGCTGTGGAGTCTGGAGCTCCTAGGTTCGAAGGGGTATTGGATTGTGCTTGCACGCTGCTCATGAGTCTTTAGTTGATGAAATCTCTTTTCAGAAACAGTTTAATTTGATGAAAAGTTATATCCTTGTTATAGCTGTAAAACTAATTAATAAACGACAGGAAATAAACAGAATATTCCGTGAAAGATCTGAATCTTTACTCATTTAGTATTCACTTTGGACTCGTAGATTATCTTGTTTTCTAATTTAATTGATTTTGGCTAGCCGAAGAATTCAGAACAAGCGTTTCATCCTTTTTCGGACTCGTCAGCTAGATGTAACACATCAACAAATAGTAACAACTCGTTTTGTTTAATGCAGTACTGACTGTCTTTAATTGTCTTAACTGTGGAAGATTAGCGAGTGTATGCGTTTGTTGGGTACTTACTGAGTTTTTGACTCAAGTTTTGTCTTTTTCTTCTGTCTTTTAGATTTATCTCCAAGCTGAATAAGCCATCAGTGGAAAAACTAATCTACACTTCTTCACATATCTCCTTCAGAATGAATGATTTAATCGCCAGAGCAATGGCTACTGATAAATGAACTTTGAACCCTCATTTTCAGATGGTGTAGAGAAAACTACTTATAAGTGTGAAGGCTGACTGGGTCCTCACGATCACATAGTTTTATTTAATGTTCCATCAGTGTAAATTTAAATTCATCAGATATCTACTCGAATCTTACTGTAATATGAATGCCAAATCAGTCAGAACTAGTCTTGTTATTCTAGACGGGTGACTGACGCTCAGCAACTTTATTTCTGAAATTAATTATTTTGTAGACATCAGGATCAAAATTTGACCTGAGAGAAGTCAATAAGTTAGTAAAAAATACGGCGTTGACTTAGCCGTGTTATTCGGCGATAAATGTTTTATTATTATATCTGATGACTTCATCAATATTAACTTCATCAGCAGCGCGACCTATAAAGTTTCATTCATACCTCATTCGAAAACTCACTTATTTTCAGGGTTTCCTTATCTCTTTGTCGTGAATTATTCGTGTTTGTTGGTTGTCATTTATTATTAAACGAAACTGCACTCTATGTACCTGCTGACTAGCCACCTCATGTTTTACCCTTCTTCTTTTCGCCTACTGACTTTCACGCTGACTGAGTGCAGTACCACCTCTAAACCCATTCAAACTTTTCTGCTCGCTCTCGTGTAACCGCAAGCCCAAAGGCTAAACGCAAAACTAACAACAGCTGGTCATTAACAAAACAAATGTTCACGTATTATTCACATTTGTACAGACATGCCTATAACCCATACTTCCGGAAATCCGGTTCTACTACATTTGCTTTCTGATACTTCTTGAAGAATATAGGCGCAAGTTTTTAAAACAGAATAAGCTGCATCGGTTGATGGATGCAAGCAAGTATGGAACCAAATTCTCTATGACCAATAAAGTTAAACAAGTCTTATTAAAAAGTATACAATGTCACATGAACAGGTATAATTGCACCCCATACTTACCCTGGTGATCCTGAGTACAAACTTATATCCAGAACATCCAAATGAATTCGATGATGTGGAAGACCAACTAACTGATATGCACAAAGAAGACCATTAGGATGAAAACCTGGATAGGTAGGTGAAATCAGTTCACCTGATATTCCATCTAAAAATTGTTACTGCCATCGGTCACTGATTTCCCTAGATGTTCTGCTTCAATACGGAAACGGCAATTACTACCGACGGAAGCAGGAACACCAACACTACCTCCACTCTTACTAGTGGCTGTTATGGATGTAGTTAAATCATCTTCTAAAGGTATGGGTAATTCAGCTGATGAAATCGCTTTGCCAGGATAAAATGCTTCTAAAATATGAAAAAAGCAACGGAAGAATACAGCCTAACATTGTTATGAAAGCACCATTCTTTATAAAGTCGTATTAGCTATAAAACCCTGGGAAATAGTCTAGAAGTGAATAGATATTTCACCTTATTTTATAATTTTTTGAGTAACATGTATAACTATAACCTGAATGAAAACAGACAAAACTCTTGACACCTCTTGGTTAGAACATCATCATTCAGACACAAGGCGGAAGTCATTAGGCCGACATTTTTGGATCATAGTCAATTGTTAATATAAAATAATGATAATCCTGTTACAATGCAAACTGATTTTTGATTAACTTATCTACAAAACCATTGTCAGACAATTTTATTTCACTTAAGTTAATTACAGTATACACAAATGCTATCGGAATATCCATGCAATAGGCATGCTATGCAAAAGAAAAATGACTGAGAAAGTTAATTTCGCCGAATAAAGACAAATATAAAACTCCAATTTTTCTAAGGTATCTTGATTGCTTTCACTCAATCTTCCAAAATATTGCAGTTCAATTCATTCCGGCTCTACTGACCACCTTACAAGATTTGTCATGGCAACCAGTGTCACGGAGGAGTAGTTAATGTAGGTTTTAATTTATTGTATACATAACTGAATGTGTCATTGAATTTATTGTTACAAACATAGGCAAAACAAAGTAAAATCTTGAAAAAGTACAGCAATTTAAAATTCTACTACCTAAGTCGGCTGTTTACAATTATAGATTTCTGATACCTAAGGAATGCCATCTTTCTCAAATGGTTCAGGTTGTCAGTCACTGACTTCAAAAATACGTGGGATGTGCACGCCCACTTCAACTATTATTGCTCATTCATAGCGTGCTCGGCAATATACATGTATGTTATGGATTGCAGTCAGTTTTTACTAAATTTCTGTGGTTACCACATCTGAGTCGTTCATATTTATATCGCATAACGATGAGCAATCATTTAATTGCATCAGAAACTTAGGATTGTATTGTTTGTCAGCATAAAAAAGGGTTATCTCTTTGTTGTTTATTACTTAAAATTTCCTGTTGCTAAACAGGGTCGAACTGTTTGATCTCGAGTCTCAGTGGAAACAACATCACTCACTGGGGTGTAGGTATATCCAGTCGATGAGTCCTAAATAGAACGGAATTCGCATCCTGGATCCCACTTTTAGTCGCTAAGAGGAATATCTTACCTCTTTTTTGATAAACACTGGAATAATATAACTTCACAACGTAGAATCTTTGCATCCATGGTAAGTAATATCAGTGAATCATGAGGTAAGCTGTGTTATCTAGAATGTGCTGACATCATAATAAATCAGGTCCCTTAGTGAAGTGGTGATGTACTTTGAGCTTTGGCTTCATTCATGATGTCTAGAACAAACTGAATTGATGGTAGAAAGCAAGTTGTTGAAGAGGTTTAGCCTGCTGAATTGAGGGACCAACTGGAAGTTCGTACTTATGTTTTCATGCAAGACAAAGATAACAGATAGACAGTGGAACTTGAAATTAACTGCATAAGACAGTCGAACCACTTTCCTTTCATTTAGGTTTGTCACATCGCCACGTGTATTTCATTTTGTCAGTTAACTTTGGTGACTTGATGACTTTTGTTGGAATGTTTCTAGTCAAAATAGGTTACTACAGGGATCATTTCAAAATATATTTATTACTAAACCATTCCTTGTGATGCTAAATTTTATTATTCAGTTCATGGAATGCCATCTACTTGTTTCTATGTGTTTCTTGATACTTGTCAGTAAGATGTATCTGCAGTCTTGATTAACCGATTCTTCCTCGGAAAGTTGAAACTGGTCTCATTTTGTGTAAAAGTCAGAAAATTTACAGATAAGCCATTATGGTCTCAAGCAATCCTCGATGAAACTGGAGTGCAAACACATATTGACTTTTGAAATCAAACCTAAAATTTGTTGCCCGTTATTGTTGCATGACTCAGTTTATTGACAAAATCGGGGACTTGACTGGTTGAATTTCATCAGTGCAGCGCGATCAGAAGTTATCGGCTACTATGGTTACCATTCAGCGATCAACATACATACATGGAAGATGGTATGCAACTGACACAATAGTCGGAATCAAATAAATCTAAACATATCTCTTTTTTAGTTCATAAGGTTTTTTTGTCTTTAGTTCATTGTTATCAATGTGTTAAATAGGTCTGATATTTAATAAATATCACTTACCTTATTTATGCCACGAGTAACAATTTTACCTTGAAATATTATACAAAATTTAATTCCGATGAATGCTAGACGTTTATTCAAATGTTAAACAGCACTCTATGAACTTCAAAAAACCACAGTCATCCAGCAGTCTTCTATCTTTTTTTATCCAGAAACAAGCATCACTTTAGACATCAAATTTATGTTAACGAAATAACATCAGAACGCCTACTGTTATTTACTTTCATGTGGGTAATTATCTCTAGCTTAAAAAAAATAATATTCGCTTGGTTTTTAATGTAAACTACTGAAATCGACAGCCATAGAGTTTTCCTGTCTTAATTACACCAACACCCTACAGAGTTTTGACAAATTCGTGAGATGCAAAATAAGTCTGGAAAGTGTATTCTTTCTTGTCTATGTGCATTACATAAATTGTGCATTACTATCCGGTTGGAAGTGTAAAGCAGATCTTCAAACTATATCAACTGTTAACATGAAAAGAAACATCTTGTTTTTGATAAACTAAATCAAAACCAGCATAAACTTAAGTTTGGTGCAATTATATCAGTGTATTAGAATAAACCGTGAAAAATAAATTATCAAGTGATAGTATAAAAGAAATTGATGTTTACACATATCAGTTAGTTGTAATCATAAGACTTTCAAGTTGTAAAAGCGCCGTGGGAATTATCCACTTAACAGTCTAATTGAGAAGAGCAAAAACAACAAATTAATTGGAAGAACAGGACATCATTTCACTTTATTAGCTTTTTGTCAGCTGCTTACAATCTATGCAACACTTGATATGAGATTACAATAAAAAAATGATATACTTGAGTTCATAAACAAGAAGTTAGTTAGCAGATGCATTTCACATGTAAGGGTGTAATAAGATTGGAAGTAAATCAAATGGAAGTGAAGACTATAAGGTAATGATAAGAATAATGATGTGGGAGAATTGGGAAAGAGATTATGTGAGTGGACAGATGAGCAGTAAATAACAATTCAGAAACAAACTACGGTAAGTTGATTTCACTAGGATAAAATTATGGTATAAACTGAAAGCAATTTACTACTAATAAGGAAAATATTTTGAGATTACTTAATTGAATACGAGTGGAGTTTATACATGAGTTACATTAGTAACTGGCGGTCTACTTAAACTTTGTGCTACCCAAAATTTTCTACGAAATTTGTTTCATCAAATTCATCCCTTTCAATTTGTTTTACTTTTTTAAATATATATTATAAACGCCTCAAGTACTCTTGGAAACTTTTTAAATGATTTCAACCTGCCGTTTTCCAAGCTAACAATAAAACAAAAATAAATTATACACCGGTGAGAGATGGGCTTAGAAATTCAAAGCAATACATTACTATTTTTTGAATAACTATGTCGAACTGCAGATTTTTTTACTGGCTGAATAAACTACCAACACCAAAATTACTCTCGTTATTCTATTCATTTACCAGTCCAAACCAAACGCTAATGTAATACCACATTGTAGCTTTTACTACTGTTATCATTAACATAGTTCAACTCCAATGATTATTTCGCTTAAATGAATGAATTCGTTGAACTGTCCATTGCTGAGAATTCCATACTGAACCATGAGTTTTGTTTGGAACAAAGCTTTTATTAGTGTTATTCTTATCAGGATAGTAATGGGAAAACAACTGCTCCTTTCTGGAGGCATGACTGCAGATTCAGTCTTTCTATTGTAATAACTTTAGCAAAACTGGGAATATTTGATTTTTTCAGCTTGTTGGTTATTTTAAAAGATCTTAATGAATCCATCCAGTGTCCTCTATCGATGAGGTGTCTAATGATACGGCTGAGGCCTCTTCATAGTAGGCTTTCGAGAACGTGTTTAAAAAAAATTCGAGGTAAGCCCTTCATTCTATCCTTCTGAAATATATTTCCTTAGCAGGATACACGTGAATTTGTACTGTAGTCTTAGAAAGGTTAGTAATATCATTCTGCATTCTATTGAAATGACGAAACGTTCTTCAGTAGAACAGGTAGGTGAACAGTAAACAATATAGCAATATGATCCAATATAGCCACACCTAAGAATGTGTAAGCAGTCAGTCAGAAATCATCGATTGAAAGTCTCAGCCTTCCAAACTACGAGTGTCAATTTATCCACTGGGCCATACGAGATAGCCACGGATTAGTGACGCAAAGCGATGCTAGTCAGAATGATGAAGAAAACTTGAGTTCTGATAGAGTTTAGTCCCCTAGCTATCTGTTTAAAACACCAGTTAGTTTACAAAATCCAACAATTTGTCAGTTCTTGATTTTGCTCCATACAAATGAGTGATACGGGATTTTTCATAGTATCTATGCGGGCTTTAAATCCACAGACATAATCACCTCCATATATATCTTGTCTAAGTTTCCCAAAAGTCATGGGAACTAGACTTACAGTTACGTGAAAACTGTCTTCCAAGTGTTTAATAACTGATAGGCATTGTTGGTGCATGGAGATATTCCAATGCTATAGGCTTCATCCATATAAGTCACCTCATAAATAAACATATTTTTCAAGAATCTTGAGAAGCAAACCAACTTCTTTGCAGTTATGATTATCATAACCTGAATTCCCACAGAGAGGATGAAATTTTACCTCAGCTGCTAAGATGGCTTTCTTCTGAACTCATTCTGGTTAAATATTCTTGAATAATTAATGTCACTGAAACAGTACTGGCTTATTGCACATGTCTTTAATATATTAAATTCTATGCTACTGTTATATATATATATATATATATATATATATATATATATATATATATATATATATATATATATACATGGCCGATAGTGAAGCAAAGTACTTCGTCAATTCACGTCGACATGGTGATTATAAAAAATATAAGCTGATCTTTGTATCATTTGTTATTATTTACCCCATAGGTTCCTAGTGAAATATAAGGCTTCAGTAGCACGTCTCCATTGCACTCTGTTCTCTGGACTCTTTCCAACCTGGCGCCATCACTGCCCACAAGCTTTCATTTCTTCCTCACACCGTCTCTGCCATGTCACCCTCACCTCGGACGCCAAACTCGTCATTCCCTATTTGGATTCCACTCAACGGCCTGGTCTGGAGCGTGATGTCCCCAAATGGTCTCAGTGTATGCCCAATCCATCTCCACTTATGCATACTTGTTGGGCAATAGGTTCTTGGTTGGTTCGTTGCCAGCCACACCTCCATGCTGCTCATTCTTATTATTCTGGCCATCTGATCTTCAGTATCGAGTGAGCGTAAGCAGCAGCTGTGGATGAATATCTGTAGTTTGTTGCAAATGCTTTTCGTGACGCGCCAAGTCTCTGTCTCAAAAATCACATAGAAGCACTGACTTGACTGAATTAGTGTTGAAAATCCGGATCTCGTTCACGCTTTATGCTGAGTGTAGAAGATCTCCTCACTGGTTTCAGGTTAATTCAGGAAGGCCTGTCTTGCTATCTCTTCGATCCTGGCTGGCTTTGACGTCCTCATCTGTGTCTGTGCCTCCTGTAGTTGAAACGATGCTGTGTTGCCTAGATAGGTGAAAGAGCCTACTTCCTTTAGGTTTCTCCCGTTCATGGTGATTGGTGCTTGTTTTTGGTGTTGGTGTTGTTGTTGTTGTTGTTGGTTGGGTATCATCATCACCTTCATCATCTCTACATTCATTTGAAGTCCGTTTTTCGTTGTCTAACCTCTTCTATCGACTTGTTGGTTTTCACATGTAGATCTTTGAGTTTGTGTGACATTAGAGATAAATCATCATGGGTGAAATCCAAATCTTCCAGGCTCTTTTCATCGGTCCAGCCAGCATATGCTATCTTCTCGCTCCTCACTGTTTGCTGCGTGATCCAGTCAAGTCGTAATTTTGAACCCAGTGCATCTTTTAGTCTTTCCAGGATGATGCAGCATAATATTTTTGCTTGCAGCATGATTCCTCGCCATTTCCTCCAAAGATTTAGGTCTACCTTCTTTGGGAGTTTGACAGGGTATCTCTTCGTCCAATCAATCGGCAGGTACTTTTCCGTCCTTACAAACCTTCTGCACTATTGGTGTGAGCGTTTTCGCTGTTGTCTCTGGTTCTTGTATACTCGACTATGAATGCTAGACCTTGGATAATTTCTATAAACGCTTTAATGTCATGATTTCATTAGAATGGTTTAAAAAATGCCGACGGTAAGCTTATCAGCATTGTTGTTATATTATTTAGACACATTAGAGATAACGATGTCTTTAATCTTTTGCTTGAATGTAATTTCTGTGTGAACAGATACTTCGAAGATTATTTCACCGTTAATTTGAAGCCTTTAAGATATATATATATATATATATATATATATATATATATATATATATATATATCTATATTGAATTGACGAAATACTTTGCTTCACTATCCGTCAACATAGTCATTTATTAAATGAAGAGCGTTTTAATATCTTCCTTAATTCCTCGTCTAAAATTCATTTATTTTCAAAATAACTGAACAATAATACCCTAATCGGATTGAAACGAAGAGAATGCTTAGTGAAGTAGAAGGAGACTGAAAATACATCTACGCATGATATGACATACAGTCAATGGCAGGAGGCCATGATGTTGAAATCTCAGGGCAAATGATAATTGCTTACGAATCACCTAACTACTGGACACAAAACCTTCCAACAGATGTGGATACCAAGAAAAAATGAAACAAAAAGTGAAAATTAGTTTCCGTCCTGTGGCTTCTGAAGTTTCACTCATTTTGGATTCAAATATCTACAGTTTCACAAGTCTCAGATCAATTCATAGCAAAATCATCCTTTGACCAATAAAAAGTCCACATAACTAATAACTACTTTTATTGATTCTTTATGAATTTAGCTCCTGAAAATTTCACGGTTAGAGTCCTAAGGATCAACATCTGAGACAGTCTATATAGTAAAATGCAATAAGTGATAGTAGCATCCTCGTTCATAGGTGCAGTGGCAAAGCAATACTAAGTAGAACGAAGTATTAGGGAAACAGTTTTCCAACGACTAATAAGCTTCAGTTATTTTGTATTCCATTCATGCAAGCGCCTGACTTCCAAATAATGAAATGTCGGCAAGAATCCACTTCACATACTGAAATTTTCAAAGCCTAGTCTCATGGACAATCTTAAATATAATTCTTGAAGTACTGTTCGCCAGAAGAGTAATCTGTTAATAAGTCGAAAACAATCACTATAAGCTAACAAGACTACTCAAAGTAATTTACCTTGTAATAGTAATATTAAGAACAGTACAGGAGGACTTTTTCTCTTCCCCTATGAATATTAATGAAAGATGTGTTGATTGGTGTTCGTTATATTTTGCTGTTTCTGCTTGTTTTTATCGTGTTGCTTCAGAAATCATCATCACGTGAAATCATTACAGCCTTATTCTACTTATTTTCATTTTCTTATTTATTCTTCGGTTCATTTATTTTATTTATTCATCCATTCACCCTAATTTGACCTAATTCTATTATTCTTGATGGTTCTTGAAGTAGCGCCAGGGAAAGAGATTAAAATAAGTTTGTTTTTGTTATTACTGCTACTATTCTTCATATTCTTTCAGCATATTTACAAAATAACTTGACGGAAAGCGAAAAACAAAGTAAATCACAATTGAACGGTGATGTTAATGAGTTTTATGACGTAAATAAAACAGTTAGTGACAAGTGGATATGCTTCTGTGATCCCATTCTGTTTTGTTTTATTAAGTTAACAGTTATTATAGGATTTTCCGAAGGGTTTTTTACAGGAATTTGTAAAATGGTTGGCGAAGGGATGAGCTAGTGAGTAGCAGGCACCAATCAATACCATTCACATAATCATGCAACCACCAATTATCTGCGTTCACGACGAATTCTTTTTCATTGTGACTTAAGTTACTACGATTTACAGCTTATTCAGTTGCGCTTACTTTGAACAATAAACCAATATATTAACTGTCTCTATACCTTCACTATGCGTCAGCGTGTTGATATGAATTTGTATCATCAGGTCACTCTATTTAGTTTGATTGTTATAGCATAGGCTCGACTAGTTGGATAACACCTTCTTTATGAAATTAATGTCACTCATGATATGTCATTCAATGAATTTCACTATCCCTTTGTCGTTTATATTTCCTTTTTCGGAACTCAACATTCAGTAAAAAGAAAGGGAAAATCTTTCTCTGACTATGAAAGTCAAGATGATGATAAGTAGATGCCTTATTGCCTACATAATCGTACACAGGCAAATACTCAGCTAAATACTTTCTGGTATAGACCATCTCAATTCAAGAGTGGTTTTTTTCAATCTAAGACACTGTACTTTACAAGTTTGAATCTCTAAAAGAAGTAGAGATCACACGCATTTCGCAGCTTTTCTAAAGTGAAATATTTGCTTGCTTTCAGAAAAACGAAACGTAAACGTGAAACCTTACCGTGTATTTAGGGTTCTGTTTCCCATTGAAAGTAAGGGCTGATAGCGTCACCTAGCTTGATGATCAAACGTCCAAGAACAATCATTAAAGCTCCAAGAATACCAAAGAGTTGTTATCCTCATCATGAGCTACAAACTTCTTTTACCATCTCAAAACAGTAGATCTTAGTTAAACTGTTACTAATTCGCAAATTTTTGTGATTTTTAAAAAATTTTTCCTTCAAATGTTTATGTATGAATAAGTGCTGTCAAATATCAAACGCTTTGTGTATGCATGTTGAAAGATGTGAGGCGGAAAACGGTCATTAGTGCCTAACAATCACAAGATTGTACAATCAAAGCTGTAATTTTCGGATTCTTTATGTTCAAAAAAGTTACCCTGAAGGGTATGACCAAATGGTTCTTAAGGGAATGGTTATTAAAACACAATAAGATAGGGAGTAATGTTCAGATCAAGCAACAGAGGGGAGTATAAAAGGCGGCAATGTTACTGAATGTGACTTTGTCAGTAACTGAGACTTTATAAAACCTTCACAAAACACTTTGGCTTACTGTATTCATTGTTGAACGGTTAAAAACAATCATGTCTCGATTTTTTGCTTACTGCAATAAAGTAATAAGGTGTGTCCGGGTGCTCTAAGGGACTTCTGCTCTCTGCAAACAAGAGAGAGACAGAAATAAAAGTTGTTTAGTGCTGAATTAATATTCACGTTTCAACTTTTCCACTTAAGAATGAACTAGAGGCAAAAGTTAGTCTTCAGATATAAATGAACATTATGCCGCCCAATGAGTAGTGGTGTTTGCAGGGCAGAGAAAACAAATTTACCAGGTTTAACTGCTGCTCTTTTAAGGTAAGTAATGATGCATTAAGCTTTGCAGATACAGAGATTAAGAAGACCAATGCATGTATGTAATTTATTTGTATGGCCAGCCATTGACCGAAAAGGCAAGTGAATAACAACATATTTTACTGCAAGCCTTGGTAGCCTCATCAACTGTCGGATTAATGGTACGTTTTTTAAAAAATTCTTTGGTATGCCAGGGGTCTGGTTGCCAACAGGTATGAGACATTGCATGGAAGATTAATATTCTCCTATTATGGGTGAATAATTCTGAGATATTAAAAAGAAACCTGTGTATGAAAATATGGTACACCAACACTAACAGCTAATACAAGTAAGATTTCTGAAAGAAAGCGAAACTATGCAGCTTACTTACCATCGTTAATAAACTCAAATGTTCCATTGAAACCGTAACTGCTTAACTTCCCAGTCATATACCAGGGATTTCCCGCTCTTTCAAGTTCAGCATAGAAGTCGATTACAATTTCTCTGTGTAAACTGATGAATGTGATTGAGTTAGTCGAGAGATAATCGCCACAATATCGACCTAATAAGTCTGATTTATCCAAAACAGATGAATAAACAGCTGCTGAGAAAGGTGTTGTTGTCTGCTGTTCACCCGTTACAGACGGTGAAGATACCTGTGTAAAGATTGCAGTCTGTCTATCTAAATCCAGTGTTGATGAAGCGACATCAATATATACATCCAGGAAATCAACTGAACAACTGTCGAATAAGAGGAGGAGAAGAAAACAAAACTGTATGAGAAATTAACAACTTTGCTTTCATTTTATTGTATTTTACATAAGTGGATATCATGGAAATTTCACGAAATGCATCGTTTCATCCTGAGGATAAGGCAAAATAGTCATATCTTTCAAGAAGATCAGATGATTCATCATCATCATCAGATTCGTCCAAAACTTTAGAAACTTATTCACATCATGACCGAACTTATCCTTTTATACAATGTATGATATAAACACCAGAGAGCAGTTTATTCACCTCAGAATGTGAGGATTATCAAAACAAATGTATATTCATCGAATCGAACAATCTTAAGTTTGAGGAGTTTGTCGGGTGTGAAAAGCGTGCACACTTGAATCAGGTGTAGTGCTTTAAAAACTACCACGCTCATCAAGAAGTCGAGAAGTAGTCTATTTGATGCTGAAATTTGTTACATGTGATTATGCTTAGACGCCATTTAAATAGCGTTTGTGTGTAATGTGTGACTTATTAGCGCAACGCATTTCAAACAATCTGGCCGCATTTACCTGTCATGCATATTTATATCAAATCTGTTGAAGAAATAGTCGAGGTAATTAATGGTCAAACTGTTAGCTTAAAGGTCTAATCGCAAATTGGGAGGGAAAAATAACATAAAGGCCAACATTGATATCGTAGATAAGCCACCAAAGTAGGTTTAATATAACATAACATATACACAAAATAGGTCTTAGCTTCCACATAGAAAGAGCTTCAACAAATCTTAAAACCCCCCACCTCTAGATTTTATAGATAGGCTTGAGAGATGCATGTTCATCGTTCTTGTTACCCGTTGGTGTAGTGTATGTATGTGAAGTCAGATATATGATTCTTGTGTTAGTGAGATCATTTTATTCGATTAGAAAAAAATAAGCCTATTTGAAACGTTTGATTTTCATTAGTTTGTCAACTGATATCAACTTTCAAATCAATCCACCTTCCATATACAAACATTGTCGAGGTAAGACGATTATACGTTACTTAGAGATTAGATGGTCCTAAAAAGATTCAGCAATCCAGCGCGAACACTGTATTTGATTAGCAGTACAATTCATAAGTTGGTATTATTTTTTTCGGAAAAGATCATTTTACAGTATCACTTATATGATGCTTCTAGTAATTCCTTTCCCTCAACGAACAACGTTTGAAGATTGTAAATCTAGTTCACTAATATTGTATTTGTATACTGTTGGTTAGTAGCCAAAAGATGAACTTCCAAGCTGGACTTATTTTTGTTAACCTGACTGTTTTATTGATATTATTTTATTATGACTACTAGTGAAATTCAGCAGACCTACTTAGAACTCATGAGCAGGATGCTACTGTATCAGTTTCGATGTTCCTAATGAAATTTAACTTTCAGTAAATAACTTCCTACACTGAAAGATTATCCACTTGAGAAACTTGCTAAAAGGTCTCATTCTTCTCATGCAGGAGTCACTATCGAGGAATTTTCATGCGCCAATAACAAATGACTGTTTTCGTTTCACTTGAGTGCACTACTGACCAATGTAAAATGAAGATCAGATGTGGAAAAATCAACTGATTTCAAAAACTGTCTTTATTTCCATCCTTCACTTTTCTAAAAGTATATAATCTAGCATTCTAAATGCGTTTTTTTTTCTTTCTATTAGTGGTTAAAATATCTACAGGGGTATAATACTGTAAACAGGCTTTAAGTTGCTTATGTCCATCAACTGTATATTTGGTTCAATATACACAACATTGTACCTTTTTGGCTGTTTTTAGCTGCACTACGTTGAATATTGTACGCACACTATCTATAATGTATGCTTGTTCCATGTTTCAATTCGTTTGATGGGTGTTATTATTTATGTCGCATACTGGCGGTAGTATGTACATCATCAGTGATTGCATACAAACAAATATTCATATACAGGCAGGAACAGAAAATCAATATGACCTGTGGTTGAATACCTAAATATATTAAAGCAGTTTCATTTGCTTTTAATATTTCTAAGGAACAAATTTCTGTGTTAATCTGAGGAGATCTGATTTACTGCAGTAGATATCTTAAAGGTAATTGCCAATAAAGTCATCAGGACTTGGCATAGTTGAATAATTTCACTTAACAGTCGTATATCAGTAATAACTCAATAAAAGGACGTAAAAGATATGGAAAAGTCGCAAGTGGAAAAATAATAGGAAATAACAATAAGATTTTGAAGAAGATTGGACTTGGAATAAATTTGCACCACTGTGATTAATTTTCAGGCATGATAAGAGAAGTCATTAGGTATTTAATTGCAGATCTCAAGCAGACAAATTATGTAGGCCACACAGTCAGTCAAATACATTGCTACCATACCTTGCTTTTATCTTCTCGTGACTCTTTTTATCCTTCTTGCATTTTAGTTAACGATGAGTATGAATAACTAGTCGCTAGCCATAGATTGCGTATCTGCAATACTCTTAGTGCCTTAAGCTTGTTTACCGAATCTCCTGGATGCAATACTTAAAATTAGCGCTCAACACAAATTACGTATGAAGTTTGCTCGTCAGCTATAATGTCTCACAGTCACATTTTGCGATAAACTTTTCTCATATGGTCTACACTGCTTCAGAGGTGGTTGAAATAGGGCAACATTTTACCAACCATCAGTCTGACTTTAATAAAACGTTCCAAGTAAATGGGTTTTAACCCTATCATCAAATCGCTCACTGACGTAAACCAGTCTTGAAGTAACCATATACAGTTGAAGAGTATGAACTACATTCCAAACATTCATGCAAACTCCAGATTATCACAGTTTCTTCACCTGAAAGAACCATATCATATGAGTACTCTAAATCCATGTGTCCGACATTGGTAAACAGATCAATCAGTCTGTTTGACGTCAAGAAGAGAAAAGTTTCCATTATTATATTATATAATTTTTCCCTTGGATTACTAGTGAAACATAAGGCTTCAGTAGCACGTCTCCATTGCACTCTGTTCTCTGGACTCTTTCCAACCTGGCGCCATCACTGCCCACAAGCTTTCATTTCTTCCTCACACCGTCTCCGCCATGTCACCCTCACCTCGGACGCCAAACTCGTCATTCCCTATTTGGATTCCACTCAACGGCCTGGTCTGGAGCGTGATGTCCCCAAATGGTCTCAGTGTATGCCCAATCCATCTCCACTTATGCATACTTGTTGGGCAATAGGTTCTTGGTTGGTTCGTTGCCAGCCACACCTCCATGCTGCTCATTCTTATTATTCTGGCCATCTGATCTTCAGTATCGAGTGAGCGTAAGCAGCAGCTGTGGATGAATATCTGTAGTTTGTTGCAAATGCTTTTCGTGACGCGCCAAGTCTCTGTCTCAAAAATCACATAGAAGCACTGACTTGACTGAATTAGTGTTGAAAATCCGGATCTCGTTCACGCTTTATGCTGAGTGTAGAAGATCTCCTCACTGGTTTCAGGTTAATTCAGGAAGGCCTGTCTTGCTATCTCTTCGATCCTGGCTGGCTTTGACGTCCTCATCTGTGTCTGTGCCTCCTGTAGTTGAAACGATGCTGTGTTGCCTAGATAGGTGAAAGAGCCTACTTCCTTTAGGTTTCTCCCGTTCATGGTGATTGGTGCTTGTTTTTGGTGTTGGTGTTGTTGTTGTTGTTGTTGGTTGGGTATCATCATCACCTTCATCATCTCTACATTCATTTGAAGTCCGTTTTTCGTTGTCTAACCTCTTCTATCGACTTGTTGGTTTTCACATGTAGATCTTTGAGTTTGTGTGACATTAAACGTAAATCATCGGCCAAATAATGTTGTCTTAAGAAATAAAAGTCAAGGGGACAAATACAACTTATTCTTTCTTTTATCAGATCAAATATTAGTCGTTTCAAATTTATTGAATGCAATCATAACACATCAGTTAACTATAGAAGCCAATAAAATTTTAATAAAGGAGACTTTTGACATTTTAAAACCCATCAATATCACTGTTATAACTTGATTAAATTAGCGGGTAGTGTTCAGATAATTTAGACCATTTAGACTTGTAATGACCCACTTAGATGATGAATCTGTATAAGCTATTAATCTAATTGTACTCAACTGGATATACTCGCTTTGATGCGAAAAATTCTGAGGGTAAAAATCAAGTACCGTGCACTTTATTCATACATTTTCTTCTACTTTGAATTCATCGCTTGTTATTTTCTTAAGCGCTAAATGCACGAAATAAGAGTACATTTAGAACATTTAGTATTCACCCAATTATACGTGGTACTGAAGGACTGTAATCAGTTAAATTCATCACTGAAATGATGGAATAGTTACCCGTAAACTGCTTTGGCAAAAGTGTTCATAAATTGTTAAACATAGGTAAACTGAGGAAAATCTGTTATCAACTCAATCTACACAACAGATTGACATCATATAGAGTCTCCTTAATGGTGTATAGTGAAAACTGTAGACTACTGGATGGCAATTCAGTGGATTAATAGTGACATATTGCAACACTTGATCGTTCTGGGCTTACTCCATCTACAGATAGCTGCATACTGCTGAAACAAAAAAGCTTTTTAGCACTCTGTAGCTTTCTATGGTTTTCTAATTGTTGTTTAATCATAATGAAAACTACACTCAGTTGTTTACAAACCACCAAGGTGAATCACAGTTATGTCCTGTTGTCTGAATCCCTCCTATATGCCTATTTTACATGATATCCGCCAAGTTGTATGAAATAAAAGTAAGCAAAGTAGGAAATGTAGACCATTGGTTTCCGACCCACTGGCTCAATGGTAACGTACTGGCCAAGGAACCTGAAGGTCCTGGGTTCGATCCCTGTAAGGGTCATGAGTGCGCACTGCTGAGGAGTCTAATACTAGGATGAAACAGCTGTGCAGCGCTCCCAGGTTTTCCATGTTCCTCCGACTGATGTCAGTCCATGATGAATTTCAACCTAAAGTCGTTTATTGGTTAGATTAATCAAACCACTGCATAACTGATTAACTTACCTTGGCATACCTCCTGATAAGAGGAAATGATCGAATTTTATATGAACCTTCTCACCAATGTTTGCTACAAAACGGTATACACAACGCGAACCGTATTCATATGATTTAGGCCAATGAGGTGATGTGAACACACCTTGTTTTGATGAATACTGAATTTCATTGTTGTCAGTTGTTTTACTGTTACTGTTGGTTGGTGTTTCAGTGTGTAGATGCAATGAACTTCGAATTAGTATTTCACCAGTTCCAGGGCGACAAGTATATCCACTTTTTGTAGACAGTGACAGGCTGGTGTAGACTAAAAAGGAGATAAAATCTTAGGTTATTCGACCATTGCTGAAACACAGTCAAAATAAATTAATCAAAAACGACAAAGTCCCAAATGATACAATTATTGTCAAGCAATTGCCAGCTGATACTGATGAAAAATTTTCTGTACGAGAAATTTCCTAAACAGCAAACAGATTCTATCGAATAAGCATTGACAATTACTTTGACCTGTTACATGAATTGTCACAAGAATACAAGCTATTCTGTATACAAGAATGAATCTGAGATACTCATGACCTGTAGTAGGTCCAATGAAGTTCATTCACGAGGAAGACAATCTTTGGATCACAAGAGCGTATTGCGATAGTTGAGATGATTAGTAGTTCAGGATAAAGATGATAATTGTATTTTTTTTTCCCTTTGGTGCTTTACGATTAGGCCAAAAGACTTCACTTTTAAAGACAGGTTTTCATTTCAATGTAAATAAACCTGGGAAAGGAATTGATAAAAACTTTTATTTAAACTCTCTAAAACTAACAATTCATTCAATGTGGACAATCTTAAATTCAATTTTTGAAGACTACGAGGGTAAAAGATACTGAAAATGTATGAAAATAGTTTGAAACTTCTATTAATTTACTTCTGACATCTGGTTATTCAGTTATGTAAGAGTTTAGACACTAGTACCTATAGTTAACCTTCAAATTTGAATAGTAACTCAGACTTCAAATCATCTCATTCTCTGCCAGTTAGAGTAGGTTTAGTAAAATGCCAACGTAACTGGAACGAAAAGCATACCGGTAAGATAGGATATCTGAGACAGGTAGTCAGATATATTGAAGAAACCTTACTCATAAATAACAATCATCCTGAATTAATCAGAAAATTCATTATGCAGTATAAGAAAAATATGAGTTGTTGTAGTAACATATGTCAATAATATTGACAATAGTAGTAACAATAACTATAACGATAACACACGGAAGACAGAATATAAAATATCTGCCGTGTTGACAAGCAAAGACGCTACTTGGGATTTTCAATAAGGCTGGAATGACAGTGGCATTTAAACTTGTAAGCTTACTGAATTAAAAACTTTACAGGTTCAATAGTCCCACTGATCCACTTAGGCGTATTAATCTTCCTCATCGCAGCCCTTTTCAAAGAAGTCGACTACGGTTATAGAACAAAATCTCAGTTAAATAAGATTGATAGTTCTCAGTCATATGAGGAATCAGGACAAAAGCTTGATCATAGCTGACATGCAACTACACAGTCACAAAACAGAATAGGACAGAGTGACATTCCTTAAAATCTTAGTTGGATGGAGAGATTGGTAAACAAATTTTTATCTGTCTAAGTAACACGAAGCACATGCCTTAGGAATAACTTAATAATTGTTTTAGGAGTGGCTTTAAAGGCCACCTTAGTAACTACTGAAGTAACCAATAAGACTTGATGAATTTATGAAAATTTGACTTTGCAGCCAAAACAAAGTCCCAATCGGCTGTTTCAGTTGTTATGTTGGCCTTTAAATTCACTTATAGATGCTTTTAAAATTCTCCTATTAATATCACAAAGTCGGAGTTATCTTGATATGTCTACGGACAATAAATTATATACGAAACATTATTTAGTGAATAATTCTGTTTCATGTGCGATTCATCGACTAAATCAACTAACTTGGTGGTACATGATTTCACTTATTTTAAGCAAATCAAATTCTCGAAACCATATCCATTGTAATGTTCGCTAACAGTAAGCGAGTAAAATTTCCTAATTAGAATATTCCTTATTGAATTTGGCGTTTATCTTAAGGTAGTACATGAAAGATCAATGAATAGTAAAGATCACCTAGATGGACGCTGGTATTTCAGTAGGCTGCATCGCAAGCATCCAGCCAATAGGCTATGAATGCAAAGGAACAGAACAATAACGTTATCATCAAATGATTTCGAGTTACCTTACCCAGTGGAATACTGAACACACTCCATTCAGCTATTCACGCAAAACTTTTCCGGTCGGTTGACAGCATAGTGTCAGTATTCAGTGGTAGCCTGTCCGTGTTATTAATATTACCCGAAACAACACCGTTATTTTCCCTATAGCTAATATTTAAATTAGTAAGCATGAACTTTATAGCCTAAAACACATTCTGAGTCCAAAGATAAACATTTCTCGCAAGTAAACTAAATATATGTGAGAAATACATTTGGAAAAGTTAGACACCTGAAAAAATAACACCAACGTGCTTTTATGTGTTATTAGTCATCCACTGCGTAAACACTTTCAACCAACAAATTTTGAGATATAATTTTCCAGAAATGAAATGTTAGAGTGGCTTTCGAATTCTGTTTCTGATTGAAATCGATACTGTCGTACATCACTAACCTAATCGAAGCAAATTCATGCACTTTACTCATACTTTTTCAGACTTTTGTTTTGGTGACAAAACATGTCCTTTGATAAGATCTGCATATTTGAAGTCGAGCATGCATCAGCCATGATGGTCATGCTTTTCTCACTCCACCTAGCCACATTGGTCAGAAGTTCGAAAAAAAGTCCACCAGGCTGACCAAATCTCATAAAATGTGTACCAAATTCATTTTCATTTAAATAAAATAGTTGACTTTGTCGGCTTACAAGGTGAACCACATGCATCAAAACATTCAGTATTATTCGATTTCAGGGTTTACCATCATCTACACAACGACTGTCATTCAGAAAATAAGCGATAATCCAGCGAAGAAAATCTTTTTCAACGAATCATTTTCTAAAGCTGCACAAGCGTATTTATGTATATCACAAACGTAAACAGTCTACATTAAATTTATTCTTCCTTTGAATATGGGCAATAAATCTTGCTCGGAAAGTCATCCAGTAAATTATACTGCGTCACTGTGTGCTGTATCAAATAAACAATCTAACATGGAAATGATAAGATGTGGTTTCAGCGAAGAAAATTTTTTCTTTTCGACGAAGTCATTTACTAAGCTGTATATTCGTGAATATGTTACAGTAGGTAGAATGTCCCAGAATTGTTTCTGGTCAGGGGGCAAAATATATTGAATGGCGAAAGGAAGTTAAATAATACACATTTGTATTTAGAGTGGGAAAACAGACAGGGAATTATGAAATTTAATGTAATTGCGTAATACAGGATGAATGTATGGCAAAGTAGGAAACTGAACGAAGGGTTATGGAGATAAAGTTGCGATTATGTAATACAGGATAAGCCTATGACAGTATGAGAATAAACAAAGGATCATGAAAATAAGTTGTAATTACGTAATACAGGTTCAGTCTATGACATAGTAGAAAAATGAATAAGGTACACATGTGTAGTTACCTGATACAAAATGAATCTGTGGCCAACAGGGCTTTGTGATGGCCATGGCTAACATAAAGGTTGAACGTACCTTTTTTGCACGTATAACGCTGGTTTGAACTTCTGGATGGCTAGTGCTTAAGCTATAGACAGATGCCTTGATTTTACTGCCTCCGAGTGGTTTGATCTAACCCTGTAGAGAATTTTCAATTAGCTCTCGAAAGGAGCCAAGTGGCCTGAGTTCATGAGGTGTTCTGTTATCGAATTGAAGATGCATTTCCGTCCTTGTCTTTTCCTACGATCAAATGGGTGTATTCCTTTTTTAATATGGAAATATAGTTGGAACATTTCACCAGTTCAAACCTTATTTCTGTTTGCAGAAGTACGTTCGATCTATTATCTTACCATAATCTTAACGCTCACAATTGTTGGATTTCACTATAATTAGTTAGTTTACTACTATTGTCTTCATTATAACTCTTGTTTCTTTCTTTACCTTCCTTATGTCTATATAATGGAAACTGATTCTTTGCATTTCACATCTACCAACATCTTAAATGTACTCAGACTCATTACCTTCCTCATTGTTTCCGCTGTCTAGAAGATTAACGCACAACTACTCTCCATTCTTGATTTCAGTTTTTAGCACTAGCCTGACAATGCAACTATACATGACTGCCTAATCATAGATTGTTTACGTTTGTGATATACATAAATACGCTTGTGCAGCTTTAGAAAATGATTCGTTGAAAAAGATTTTCTTCGCTGGATTATCGCTTATTTTCTGAATGACAGTCGTTTTGTAGATGATGGTAAACCCTGAAATCGAATAATACTGAATGTTTTGATGCATGTGGTTCACCTTGTAAGCCGACAAAGTCAACTATTTTATTTAAATGAAAATGAATTTGGTACACATTTTATGAGATTTGGTCAGCCTGGTGGACTTTTTTTCGAACTTCTGACCAATGTGGCTAGGTGGAGTGAGAAAAGCATGACCATCATGGCTGATGCATGCTCGACTTCAAATATGCAAATCTTAATAACGGAGAAGAAATTTATGCAAAAAAACAACAGTATTATGCAGTGCCTGAAAACTGAGACATAGTTATTGATACTATTAGAAACTTCACTACTATTTACTGTTATTTTGATAAGAATCAGATCAGTTCTTTTTAACCGAGATTACTTATTCTTAAATATGAACAAGCTTATCTTCGTATGTACAGTTTTGTAGGCTGGATGGCTGAAAAGAAATAACAAGAATCTCTTGTTTGTTAACTAGTACTACAAGATCAGTCATTGGCTAATTAACGTAATAATAACGTTGACTGTAGAATTAATTCTCTAGAAGACCACTGAAATGTGTGAACCTACACGAACATAGGTTAAGATAGATTTCCTTTTTATGGCCTCCAATAGTCTACTGGATTTGAAAATTCATAGGAATATCCAGAGTACTGAGATGACACACTTTAGTCGTCTAGTGCTGTTTACCATGGAACACCAGAGTGAATGATATCCGTGTACGACTTCACATACTTGTAATGGTGTTCATTCAAACATCAATAAGATAACTTCAAACGTTGTATAGATGCAAAATGAATCTACAAATTGTCCATTTCACATCACTCAACTCAAGTTGTTTTTCATAGTTGAGTGAATACTGTTGATATTTCGGTGAGTGAAATGAGTGCTAT